TTGATGTCCCCTGCGACTATGGTCCCAAGTTTTTGGGTTTTTTTGTTTTGCTTTTTAATACTACTAGTAAGGAGTTGTAAAGATAGGGAGAAAGAAATGGATTAAAGAAACATTTAGCAACTTAAAATAACAGGTCCACATGATTAGTTGTAGATGTAAGGGAGAAAAGTTCAGGTAGAGTTCCAGAATTTGGGCCTAGCCAAGTTTGTATACATTGATGCCATTAACTGAGATAAAGAAGGAACAAAATGGGTGAGATGGGAGGAGAGAGCAAGTGTTCAGTCTGAGATGTTTTGAGGTTGAAATACCTATGATGGAATATCCAAGAAGAGAATGCCAAACCAAACCAAACTTACTCCCATCAAGTCAATTCCAAATCATAGTGACCCCATAGGATTTCCAAAGCTATAAATATTTACAGAAGCAGACTATCTCATCTTTCTCCGTCAGAGCAGCTGGTAGGTTCAAACCACCAACTTTTTGGTTAGCATTCAAATGCCTTAATCACTGCACCACCAGAGATCCTTACATGAGAAGGCCATAGGCATTTAATTGTGGGTCTGATATTTAGGAGGAGAAAGATCTGGGACTTAAGCTCCCTAACCACATATAGGTGGTAGATAATACAACATGAGTAAGGTCATGCAGAAAGCAGAATAGAAGAATAAAGCCTTAAGAGGAAAACTCTAGAAAAAAAATAAATGTTCAAGAGTCATTAGCAGAAAAGGGGTAGCACATGAGTTAGACGTGGAAGGGTCAGCGAGAACCAACAAAACTGATATCACTCATCAGTGGAGGTAAGTAGATATGTGTCAAACATGAATGGTCAAGAGTAGTAAATGTTGATATACAGGTGGATAGATGGGTGGACAGGCTGAACAATTAGATATGTCTATGCAGGGGAGAGTGTGCCCATGACCATGTATAAAGTTAGCAGACAATGTTTCCACAAGTGTATTTGTATGTTCTGAAGAATTTCCAGGTGTATAGTAGAGCTGACAAGGGAGAAGTCTATAGTCATCTCTTGGCCACAGCCAGCTACCCAGAGGGAGCAAGTAGTTGGACCTGTGGGCTCAGGACCATGGTCATAGGGGACATTAAGCTCAATAGCATAACATACTACACAAAAACATTCTTGCACATCCTACTTTGGCGAGTAGCAACTAGGATCTTAAAAGCTTGCAAGCAGCCATCTAGATGCAACGATGAGTCTCTCCTTGTCCAGAGCAAAGAAGAATGAAGAAAACCAAAGATGCATGGAAACAATTAGTCCAAGGGACTGGTACACCAAGCAACCCTCAGCCTACACGACTATGAGACCAGAAGAACTAGATGGTGCCTGGCTACCACTTTCAACCACTCGGAGGAGGATCTGTCTAGGAGATCCTGGGTAGAGTGGGAGAGCAATGTGGAACAAAACTCAAAATCATTTTTTAAAAAAAGGAGGGGACCAGGTTTGCTGATCTGATAGAGCCTGGTGGAACCCATGAGACTATGGCACCTAGCTGCCCTTCAGGTCTGGAATTGAACTCACTACTATGGCTTCTAGCCAAATGAAAGACAGGCATATGAGCTGAACATTTACATTAGGTAGATACACTCCTTGGAGAGATCAGTCATGGGAGAATAGAAGGGCTGTGTATGCACAAGGACACAGTTTAGGGGGTAGGAGTGCATGGGAGGGAAGGACACAAGAAAGAGGTAACTGTAGGGAAGAAGTGGGAAGAGAGCTGTTGCATTGTGGAAAGCTGTAGTCAATGTCATGAGACAGTGTATGTGAATTGCTGTATGGAAAGTGAATTTGCTCTGTAGACTAACCCAAATCACAATAAAAAAATTTTTTTTTTAAAAAAAGTAATAAATGTTACAGCCAGCGAGAATAAGGACTGAAAATTTTTCCTCAATTTGGTGATAATAGAGCTCACTGGTGACTTTTCTCAGAACAGTTTTAGTTGAGTGTTGAGGGAAGAGGCCTGGTTATAAAAATTGAGAAACAGTAGAAATAAAGAAGTAGAGAATAGGTATCTGCTCTGTCTACATAAACTACCCCTCAGGCCTGATATCTTTCCATCAGTCTGCCTATCAGATATGCACAACTTAAGTATTCATGAGATCCATTGAACTTAGGGCATTCAAATTATTGTCACCTCGATGCCAAGCAAGACTTGAAGCATGTCCCACTCATCTTATTGGTTAGCCTAGTCAATCAAGGTGGGCAGGAGAGGATGTTGAAAATAAATCTCAAATATCTAGCTGGAAAACCTGGGTTATAGGCATTACCATTAACTGAAAAAGAGCCAATGGAAAGAGGTGAATTAGTAGCAAAATGGAACATGTTATATTTTAAACATACTGAATTTCAGTACTTGTAAGAAACTCTGGTGATGCAATTCCTAAGGCATTTGACTGCTAACCAGAAGCTTGGCTATTCAAACCACCAGCCTCTCTGAGGACGGAAAAGAGGGGAATCTACTTCCATAAAGACTTACCACCTTGGAAACCAATGAGGGTTGCTATGGGTTGGAATCTACTTGATGGCAGTGGGTTTGGTTTGTTTTGTTTTGGTAGGACATCCAGGAGATACATCTAGGACAGAGTCAGAAATATGGACCTAGAATAACTCTGGGAGTTATTCTCCCCAGATGCCAAGAGAAGATTGAAAGAGATTCCTTCCTTCTTCCTCTCATATCAGAGGATATAAGTGAACAAGAGATCCATCCCACTTTACATCCCAAGGGTTTAAAACATCCTCTAAATGTGATAAAAGTTTCATTTTACAATGTTGTTTTTTTCCCTGCAAGTATGTGCTAAGCCATGTTACAAAGATAAAGGAAGAACACCATGAATCCATCAATAAATTTGAAATGGAGTTTATTGATGAAGTGGAAAAGCAAAATGAACTGCTAATGAAAATACAGCACCTTCAACAAGATTATGACATACCATCCAATGAATTAAGGGACCTCAAATTGAACCAGAATATGGATCTACATATTGAGGTATAGTTTATTTAAAATGAATTTATATAGATTTTAAGCCTTTTAATCAAGTAGAAAAGTACTTTTTTATGTTGCTTAAATCCCTTTCACTTATCAGAAATTAAAAATAGTTCGCATAGTGTTCTATCGGCCAAACATACAAAGTACTAAGTAATGGACTAGCCTCCTTTCCAACCTTCACAGATATCAAGAAACTGATTTAAAATTAGCAGGTGGGAATTTGTGGCACCCGGGAATAAGTTTCTAAGTAAGTTTCTGGAAGTCAGAAACTTTCTTGTTGCAATAACTGCATATGGTATGTCTTGCTCTCTCAGTGATATAAAGTTGACAGTCAGGTCCCAACCTGCGTATAAGGCCTCCTTTATGCACAGGGAAGCCACATCCAGAAACACTTCTTCAAATGTTGTCATTATTACTCACAGACTTATAATTTTGATAGGTTTTAATTATGATAGGAAATTTAGACATTCCAGTCATATAACCTATATTGCTGTAATTTGTGTGCAAGTAACTAAAATAATGTTTCAAATGAGAATTATAATTCTTTAGTTTATTTGAAAATATTAAGGAAAATGAAGATTCAGTAAGGTATTTTTCCCTTTTTTAAAGTTATAAAATATCTCAAAAACTTGCCTAATGTTCAGATGACTTGATACTTATTTTCACACAGGAAATTCTCAAAGATTTGTCAGAAAGTGGCTTCTTCAGCATAAAGACTGAATTTCAGCAAGTAGTGGATAAGAGGAAAGAAATGACCCAGTTTTTGGAAGAGTGGTTGAATACTCATTTTGATATAGAAAAGCTTAAAAATGGCATCCAGAAAGAAAATGATAAGATTTGTCAAGTGAATAACTTCTATAATAACAGAATAATTGTAAGTAATCATTTTTATTGTGCTACCTCATCCTGTTGTTTGATTTAATTTTTCTACTTCATTCTTAAAAGACTTAGAGCAACTTAATTTTAAGTATATTTTCTTTAATTTATTCTTATATGCTTTATGAAAAAGATTAACTTTGCAAAACATGTACTTCCTCTCAGATTGCATGCTTCAATAAGATGATCAGATATATATCAATTTACATTTATAAAGAAGGTAGCAAAATCTTGGTGTATGATCTTCAGTTTCCACCCACCTATTAAATCTTGAATACTCTTGACAGTCTCCTCTTCCTCTTCTAACTGCTTCTGTAGGAACCCTGCTTGTTCCGCAAATAGCTTAGACAAGATGAAACATGAGTCTGTTTCAGGGCTACCAAAAAGAAAAATCAAACTCACTGCCATTGAGTCGATTTCCAACTCATAGCAACCCCCTTTGGGGTCCCGAGGCTGTAAATCTTTACAGAAGTAGATTGTCCAGTCTTCCTTCTGTGGAGTGGCTGGTGTGTTTGAACCGCCAGCCTTCTGGGTAGCAGTCTTAGGCACTACACCACCGGAGCCCCTTTTTCAGGACTAGAGGCAGCAGTTATCTAGTAGGCCTGACACTTGTCCAGTTACTTAGTAGTGTCTTGTGGGCTTTTCACTATCAATATTCACCTTTGAGACTCAAAAATGTGACTTTTATCATTCTTGCTTAAAGCCAGTTGCTTCAGTTTGTTAATGTGTTTTACTTTCCAGTGGTCGGAGTAGTCATTTCTGCTTTCTGGAGCATCTCTTCCATATATGACTGGTAAAATATGGTAATAATGAGAAAGGTGCTTGTTATGTATGAAATTAGACCTAGGGAACTAGTATTATAACTTCTAAGATCTGTTTTATATTTTATGTTTTTAAGTAGGTCTTTTCTGACACTTTAATTTCATCTGGGAACTTAAATCACATTGAATTATGGTCTAATACTTTAAGAAAGCTTTCCAATAGATAGTTACTCCCATTTATTAAATAACCAGAGCTAGCAAAACATTGGGAGCTCTGGTAGCATACTGCCTAAGGCATTTGACTGCTAACCAGAAGGCTGGTGGTTCAAACCCATCAGCCACTCCTCAGAAGGAAGACTGGGCAATCTACCACAGTGATACCACCTCGGAAACCCAAGGAGGGTCACTAGGAGTTGGATCTGGCTCAATGGCAGTGAGTTCGGTTTGAGTTTGAGCAAAATATTAAAATTATGTTTTAAAAACAAAACTCCACAGTCAGTAGAGATAAGCAAAAAAAAAAAACAGTATTTTGATAAGATAATTTCTATGTAATTGAGTTTTTTTTTTTTTTTTTTTTTAGGATTTGGGTGAAGATTTACAGAGTAAATTCACTTTTCATACAGCAGTTCACATATACTTTGTCTC